TCCTAATAGTTGTGTACTTGAAAACAGTTTTGTTTCTTGTTTCTTGCCCATCTTAAACATTGCCGTGTGTGTGTGTGTGCATGTGTGTGCGTGTGTATGTGTGTGTGAGAGACAGACAGACAGACAGACAGACAGACAGACAGATAGACAGAGACAGAAGGAATGGAGGAAGAGTGCTGCATATGCTTATCCACATGGGTATGTGGGCGAACTGTCTTGCACACGGGCCTGTGTTGGAAACAGGTCAGTATCAGATTTGTAACCCTATCAATTTCCACCTTACTTTTCAAGGCAGGGTCTCTCACTGAACATGGAGCTTGCCCTTTTAGGAAGACGATCTATTCAGTGATGCCCTGGAATACTCCTCTCTGTCCTCCAATGCTGAAGTCATTGGGCCTTAGTCACACCTGACAACAACATGGGCACTAAGGATCTGAACTCAGGTCCTTGGTCTTGGACCTCAAGCACTTTACCTACTGAGCCAGTCCAGTATTAGCCCCTGAACTATGATGCTCAGATATGGAAAGGCAGTTTTCTACTGAACCAAACAGCCTAGATTTTTGCCCTCTCTTCCTCCCTCAGCATTGAAATTTGGGCACATGTAACATCATGCATGTTTCCATTCTTGACAGAACTCTTAGTATTTGCAGAAACACCACTAATCTGATTATTTCCAGTAACAAAGTTATTCCATTTGAGCCCTTATGAAATGTTGATTAAAAGACTTAGAAAAGACAGCCCAGACCAGTGATTCTCAACCTTCTTAATGTGTGACCCTTTAATAAAGTTTTTCACATTGTGCTGACCTATAACCATAAAATTTCTTTCATTGCTAATTCATAATTGTAATTTTGCTACTGTTATGAATAGTAATGCAAATACCTGTATTTTCTTTTTTTTTTTTGATTTTTTTTTTATTTTTTGAGACAGGGTTTCTCCGTACCTTTTTGGTTCCTGTCCTGGAACTAGCTCTTGTAGACCAGGCTAGCCTCGAACTCACAGAGATCCGCCTGCCTCTGCCTCCTGAGTGCTGGGATTAAAGGCGTGTGCCACCACCGCCCGGCATACCTGTATTTTCTAATGGTCTTTGGTGATACCTATGGAAGAGGTCGTGACCCACAGGTTGAGAACTACTGCCATAGACAGTAATAGAGGCTTTGTTTGTGTTCAGTTTCTGCCTTGTTGCCTATTAGCTTGATTTTGTTCAAAAAAGTTCTTACAGTTAATTTGAAATTTCTTTTCTTAAACAAGACTTTTGTGTATATACATACATATTCATTAGCTTTCGTGAGTTCAAACATGATTGTACAGATCATAACTTTAAACCATCATATCTCTTCTGGTTCCATCTTTAGATTTCCCTGCTCAACTGAGCTCAAGGTGAAACAAAATATTTATCTTTCCACCCAATAAAGCTTACTACTGAGGACTAAGGAGCTAAAGTAGTCTTAAAAATACCCCAGATTCTAATAAAAAAAAAAAACCTCCCATCTCTTTTGCTGTTTACAACCAGATCCATTGCAAGTTAGGAGAGCAGATGCAGAGGAATTTTGGACCATCTTTGCATCTTTTAATATCCATCTACATAATAATCAAAGAAAAGAATTTGTCTCCATTTGTTGTAGAGTTCATGAGTGAGAAATATGGATGACTTGTCTAAAATTATACATTGATTTATACTGTTCTTAATTTTACAGATGTTCTGCCGATGAGTCCTCTTAAAAATGTGTTGTTGCTATTGCTGGCTTCGGTTTCATATGGAGCTAGAGAACCCCACCAAAGCTATGTCAACCTTAATTATGCTTAACCCATGAGCTCCCGGTGCCTTTGGATCTTTGCGACATTGAAGATTTAGGAGAAGCTTTCAAGTATTTTGTGATGGTGGCTATCATTTTGTATTTTAAAGAGATTATTTTGTAAGGAATAATTTTAATACTATAGTTTCACCTGTATTGTAGTAAATGTTGAGATACAGTTGTTGTTTTTTTTTTTTTAACTTTAGGTACCATTATTTTTTATGTTACTAGAATGAATACTGTTTGGTTTTCAATCTTTAGTTAACTGTACACTCATGAAACATACAGGTCTTTCAAAGTCATCCTAAATACTGAACATCTGTAAATCATCAAGCTTCAAAAAGCATTCTTTTTTTTACACACACACTCTAAAATTGACTATGTGTAGGGAGATAGAAATAAGTCATACCTTCTTAAAACAAATATTTTTAATAAGCTCTTGGAAAAAGCGCCTAGAAAAGTATTGATTTTTCTAGCAAGGTGTTCTGGATTCCAGGCAGCTCCATGATTATCATCCTTGAGAACCTTGTGTTTGAAGAACCATTTCCAGGCAACATGTAGCAGAAGAAGTACCTCTTGGTATTTTTATCTTCTCTTTAAGATGGAAGAAGCGGTTAACCCTTATTTAACATGATTAGACTTTTAAAGTAATCTCATTTAGCCAAGGATGTGGGTTTGGTTAAACTGGAGGAATTAGTCTGGCTTCAACCTTCAAATCTTCAGCTCAAATAATATTGTACATGCTTGGATTTAGAAAAGTTTTAGAAACCGTGTTGTCTTGTGAGTAAATACCTGATCCATAGTTATGAACATAAGGACACCAGCATCTTTTGTCATGTTAACTCAATTTTCATAGAAACTATTTATATATTTTTTCTTTATAATTATCCACACATAAGCATAGTGTGTTCAGTTTTGAAAAGGTATTTAAGTGAACATTGTCTAGCTCATGTGAAAATACCATAGGGCACGAACATTTCTCTTCATACAAAGGTAAGATAGACTGTACAGTTAATTTTCAGTTCTATTTATGGTACTGTTAAGTGGGTGATATCCTCTTTTAGCTCTCTATATATACTATGTTTGCCTAAGTGCTGAACTGGGGCTATAGTTTCATAGCTGTAGGCTTGTTGGCACTGATTAATTTTGACAGTTACGATTTTCGTGTTTGTATCTGCACATTTGATTTTTGCACAAATGATCTTTAAAATGTCTGGACAACTGCCAAATATTAAAAGAAAGATGTTTTGTAAGTAAACAATAGAGTTTTTAGTTGAAGTGGCCATTACATGCCTTCTTTTAAAAAAGAAATTCAAACACTTGTGAAGGTATAGTGTTGTATGTCATGAAAATTCTTTTCGTTGGTGCCTGTACGCTAACAGTTGCTTTTACTGGATTGTATTTTGAAGTCATGATTCGGTTATAGTTTTCATCAGTTCTGTAACTGAAATTCAATTACACTTTGTTCTCCACAGTGTTCTACAAATAGTTGTGTGACTTGAATCATGGATTACATTCGTATTTTTGTAAAAATAAAATCCACCAGTTCATAAATTGATTATGTAAAACCTTACCACATAACTGCATCCCAAATACAGCTTGTATTGCTTGTCCATTGGAGCTTTTGTCCCGTAGACTGTTTCTAGGTAAAGCATACTTCAGTGTTTGGGGGATTTTAAAAATAAATATTTAAACTTTATGATCCTTGATGCTTGTTTTCTTGAGGGTAGGTTTGATATGTTATTCTAATTGTTTTAAAATACTTCTCCTTTTCCTTCTGTTTACTAAGAATTGATTCTACTCACAGGTGAACACATATATCCTGCCTCCTCCCTTAACAAAATTATTAAGTCCTTTCAAAAATGTCTTCAGACAACCAACTCACTGCTCTCCGTAATTACTATTTTAAATAAAAATCACATAGAGATTTGAAGGAAAGTGTACATTTAGCCAAAGTGTTTAGAAATGAAAATGAGATAAGGAAAAACCATATAAAATATAAGATTTTGAATTTCGTGTGGGGAAAAGATTACAGGTAATTTTTAAAAAATAATAAAGATCACTATAAATTACACCTAGGTGGTCAAACTTCAGTATATTCATAGTTTTCAATAACTACTCTACACTTGTGACTTAGTGGATTTGTGTCCAGGAAGAAAGGAGTGGGTTGAAGCACAGAAAAGCTGTTTTTGCTAAGGTGGAGAATAAAGAAATCTGTTGTCTACCTTTTCACTTATTAAATCACATATAAAATTGTTCATTCTATCACTTCACTTCTTTGACATTTATATTTAACACTGGCTTGAAAATACATTGTACTTAAGATTATCAACGAAGTTCTTCAATAGTCTTCCTTGAGGATTGGTAGACAAATATTGAATGGGTCAAGAATAGAATTTTGAGGGTTGGAGAAATTGCTCGGTGCTGAAGAACACTGGCCACTTCAGCAAAGGACCTAGGCTGAGTTTCCTGGCATCAACATGGTGGTTCGCAGCTGTCTGTAACTCCCATTCCAAGGGATCCCACCCCATTTTCTGGCCTCTACAGGAGGCAGGCACACACATGGTATGCTTACTCATACACATAACGTTTTTAAAAAGCAGTCAAACTGAGCTTAGCACCATGTTACATCACTGTAACCACTAGCACACAGCAGGCTGGGGCAAGAGGATCAGGAGTTGGAGACCACCCTCAGCTTCTTGAGAAAATTAAAGAACAACCACACAATAGAATTTTTGGTCCCTTTCAGAGCCTGGTGGTGGTGCTCTCTCTTTTTGTCTCACTCAGCCCTTGTTTCCACGTAATCCCAGCCATTCGTTTTCTCCTGTCTCTATTCTTTTTCCATCTTCTAACCATCCTCTTTTATAGGTATAGGCCACAACCATCTACTTTGGAATTCTTATTAAAACAAAAAGAAAGTCATACGTATAACTTCTGTTTGAGTGGATCTTCCATTGTTCTTTATTAAAATTATACCTCAGATCCTTGCCTACATGCATGCAACCAAGGTATGGCAAAAATATACTCCAGCAGGAGAAATTAATAAACAAACTTGCTTGTTAACATTGATTTCCACCATATATCATAAGTAGTTAAGAAGAGAGAAATTAGAAGTCAACATCATAATATCTTCATCAGGCACACATCTGCCATGAGACATGGGCCTAATCCAAGAACCTCCAGCATTGAGAATTCTGTTAAATCCTCCATTAATTCTAAACATGTTCTGCTGAGAGGAACTATGCCACTCACTTACGTATATTGACATTCTTAGTATATAACAAAACTGATCACTGGGTCCCAAACAGGTCATCGGGAGAGAAACCGTAGTTTAGTGTTACATAAGCACACACACACAAACCCAACATAATCATGGACTACTCAATCACAAAGTGGCATTAGAAGCCAGTCCCATACACCAACCCATGCCATTGTTCTTCAGCTTTGAAGGTGGTCTTCATTTATAATATCTGCTCAAAAAAAAAATGTTGAATGGTGATGGCGTACACCTCTCTCACACTGCCATAGGAGAAGGCATGGTCCAGAGTCTGCTCGGAGGAAATAAAAGAACAAAGTTCCTAGAAGAAGACAGCAACTTAATCTTTCATAAACTGAGTGCCAGTAATGAGCAGACTCCATTAGCATCAATTAAAATGACTAAGGAGAAGGTATATTGAAAGGCTCTTAGGTCTTACCTAAGGCGGTAACAGGAAACAGGCCAGGAATATTCACAGAGTTCACTCTTTTAAGCTAAGAAATAGTTGCATGGCTTTAGCAAAGTCCTATCTTCAGCATCTGGCATGGTGAAAGAAATATCTTCGTCCTCTTCATCTAGCTGTAGACTACCAGACGACAAGCGGATTCGGGCCCTAGGTGACTTTGTGCCTTTGCCATACAAAGAGTAGTAGTCTGGTTTAAGAATCTCCGATTCTGAATCACTGGACTCACTAACTACGTATCTTTCTGCCGAGTTCTGATCCATTACAACTGTGGGGAACTCCTGCTCTGCAAATGTACAGGTAAAGGGATCTGTTTTACGAGTCAAAGCAGGACAAGGCCCTAAAGGTCTAAATTCTGACCCAAAAGGAAAACGGATAGTTTTCATGTCTGAATGGCTCTGAGATCGTTTAGGAGTTTGCTCTTGAAGGTTATATGCAAAAGCATCATCCAAATGTGGATCTTCCTCCCCTAGGTCTACACTGATATTGCTCCTCCCACAAGTTCTAGCCATAGCTTCTTGAAGTTCTTGAAGGTCTTGCTGTAAACTTTTTATCCTGCTATTCCTGGGGCTCCTCTTGACTGGTTTTACTGCACTGGGATCTAGGTAGCTGTCTGCTCTGACATTTTCCTCTGCCATGATTGGAGACCGCCTGGGTACCTGGGGTGGCTTGTCCACATAAAAAAAGACTTGAGGAGGCATGATATCAACCTGCTGGCTAGTACAAGGAATATAGGGCACATCGGTGTATGTGAGCTGCCTTGCTGGACTCACTTTGCTGGTGAAAGCAGATGTGCTTATGTGATTGTCCATACACTTCGAGCCTGTCTGGAAGGAGCTTAGAGGGCTCCGTTCCTCAAAAATGTCTATGGGATCAGGGTCGGTGTTGAAGACAGGATCTGCATAAACAAAGGTGAAAGAGGAACTGCTTTGGGATGGATGGAGCGGTGTGGGATCTGCCTCTGGTTTGGACCGCTCCAGCTCGGCTGCAAATGTCACCTCTACCGCCGAGTTCCTCCTCCTCTTGTCTAGCATAGGCTCAGATGTGTGTGCTCCATCCACGTTTCGGTAGTAGCCGCTGCCATAGAGAAGTCTCAGGTCTTCCACCTTGAAAACCCAGATATGTTGATGTCAGATGGGTTAGGTTAGATATGTAAAGAAAGGGTAATGCCTTTCACCATGAACCAAGTTATAGGTTAGAAAATACATGTGGCACTCTTCATTCTCAGTGACATCTCATTTCTAGACTCCACATTTCACGGGTCCTTCAGGTACCATTCTATTTCAAGCAGCTCATTTTGGTAGCTATGTCAAAGTAGTAGCAATCCTACGCCTGTCTGCCTTTGTCTAGCTATGTGCACCTTAGACACCATGGTCTTACATTCCTACCCCAGCCTCCTCTATATTTTCTGTAAATAAAAGGTAGAAAGGAGAGCTGTGAGTGGCCTGAGAGATTCATAATCTCCATGATCCCTTTCAGCGGTTTACATCTGATGCCTTTCGGATAAAAGCCATCTGTGACGTGAGTGAAGGCATGGGAATTTATGGCTCCTACAATTAACTTTTGTAGACAGTACCAAAGAAAAATGATGAACAATTTTCCTGATCTAAGTCTCAAATAAGGCGATCATTTTACAGTTCCAAGGGTGTAACTGTACCTAGAAATCATGTTACCCAAGTAAGAAACAACACCGTATGCCTTTCTTGAAGCCTTATTGTTTCTACTGTTTTTTTTTTAAAAAAAAAAGAAGAGCTTTTAAATTTAAAATTACAAAGCCATACAAATGTATTATTATCTGATTTTTTAAAGATGTTGATAGGACAGACTGCAATTTGAAGGTACACCAGGGATTTCACTTGTACACAGTACACAGTTAGTTGTAGTTTACAAAACGGCCTATTAGCAGGAAGGACTGACTGTGCCAAGACCTCCCCAAGCGACTAACCCCGTATGGAGTGACCTTGGTACACAGTAGGTAAATCTGGCAAAATCAACTCTTGGAAGCATTTGAAGACTGGATGACTTATACCTAAAGAAGTAGGGCTTTTCTGAAACCTTACTTGTTTGGACACATCTGAGAGAATGTCTGGTGATGACCTGCACTGTCGCTCGTGATACTGAGATGGGTACTGTTTCCTGTAAGCCCCAAACAGAGAAGTCATTGAAATGCCCATTATGCAAATTATAGGCTACACAGACATCGCTAAAGTCAACTTCCAATCAGCGTGAGAAGCAAGAAGGAAAAGGGTGCACCTTTCAAACGGCAGGCTCTTTAACCTCCCCTTTTTCCCATACTCCAAAAGTTGCCTTTGAGTTCTTCCACTATTGTAAAGAAAAGACAAAAATCATTAATTCCATCATAAGACTATATGCCACTAAAACCCGACACCCTCATCTTTGAACCTTAAACTGTCTGGATGAGTGGCATGCATTGTGACTCTCTGTCATACTGATGCTATACCTACTTCTCTAGACACCAAGAATAGAGCAAATTCATCTACCCCAAAAATAGGCTTTAAAAAACCTGTAAAATACAAATCCCAACCGACTCTTACTCTACATATTCATTCTAAGGAGGCTATTTAGATTTCCAACCCAAGGTGGATGCAAAGCAGCTAACAAAACAGTCAAAAAATGCATCAGGTAGGCTCATACCAGTAAAGATGTCTGGTTGAGTGCTGGGAGAAACACAAGAAGCAGGAAGAAGTCACAATAATAAGAAAACCCAAAATTTCATGGCCATTTAGCAAAGAGCCAGGCCTAACATGCCACCCCTACCTAGGGCTATCACTGCACAACGGCCTGCAAAGGCTAAGAAAAGAGTTTTATATGTCGGGTCATTAAGACAGAGCAAAATATGCTCAATATCATCTGTTTATGAACATAGGGATTTGTAGAGTACACTTTGGAAACATTCCATCAAAAATATGTTTTTTCTCTATTCTTCCAAGGGCAGGTTTCCAGGGTCTGAAAAATTCCTTATGTGGAAACATTATGATTAGAATTATTTTTGCAATCACTAGAGTTTTGTAAGCTTCTCCCTGTGGATTTCAAGGCTAGTGTGTTCAAATAGAAACAGTATCTCAAGTCTACCTCTCTTCAATTCCCCTAAGGTGGGAACTTCTCAACACAGGATTGCTCCATCTTTCAAATCTTTTGACCCGCATCCACTGTTTACTCACTCTGTCTTTTCCCTAAATGTCATTAATGGATATGATTGACCTTTCCTTCCACATGCTGCATGGAAGCTGCCTTTCAGGGAGACAGTAAATTCATTGAATACAATTTTTCAAGTACCCTCTGCTACCCTACATCCTCACTGTAATTCTGACCCAACCCCTTTGGTTAGTAAATACTGACCTAATGCAATGCAGCAAGAATGAACAGTAAGGAATATTTATAATCTTTCAACTGACTTAAATGGATTCTTTATTACTTCTGGAATTCTGACTCCTCCCACTGTTTCTCATGGATTGAAAAGAAACAGTGTGCATGGTCTTCCCATGCACCGAGTGTAATTACCTGTAGCGGAAGCTGGAACCCTTGCTGCAGAGAAGGGTCTTGGGCTTTGACTTGGGCTCTTCGGAAAGCCTGAAGAAAGCATGGTACTCCACACAAGTCTTCCAGAAAGCCTTGCACGCATCTCGGCTAGCCATGGTGAACTCCAAAGTGTCTTTGTACAACACCTATATAAACCATTTTCTATCAAGCAAAACATCCTGCGAGAATACCAAAGACCTTCCAACCTTCGAAACTAACAGTCCGGCAGCCCATGAAGTGTCTGCTTTTCTGTTTGGCTCCCCGTAGGCTCCACAGCCACTGGAACCAAATGAATTGCAACCTTCCAAAGATCAGACACTGCATCCACACATGCGCCAAGCCTTGTCTCAGAAGCCAGGCTTGCTTCGCACACTCCCCTCCCTTTAAATGCCTTTCTGCCTTGCCTCTTTGCTGCCAGAAACATTTTAGGAAGCTGTAAATTAGGTTAACATGAATATCAAAGGGCTTCTTTTTCAAGGTGGCAAGAAGGTATAAATGACCAAGAGGCAAGGGGAAGGGGGGAGATTTCATTCCTGCTGTGAGGATGATAAAATGTGTAGCAGTGTTTTCAATGACCCAGCAAGAAATACTCCTTCCTCTATGTACTTTCTCCTACCGCAGTGCTTTGTATTTCTCTCTTGGCATAGTCCATATTTTAATGTGCCCTAAGGGAACTTCGATTTACAGTTCTAAAGTACAAGCTTTTCCCATCTTGAGTCAGCGTGTACACTCGTTGGCCCAAGGCTCTATGGAGGTTCCCAGCTGTCTTTTCAACAGCCCCACCAGCAGTCAGAACTGACTTCCCCCTCCTCTCATTTCCTTCCAGGTTCCCGCGTATAGCCCCTGACGCTCCCCATGAAGTTCACACTAGGTCTGGTCCCATGAACTATTCAAATGAACGCCTTTACATAACACCAAGATCTAGGCAATGTAATTCAAACTTGATCTTTTATAGGTTCAAATTACTTGATGCACATATAGGTTTTTTACCCCTTCATGGTCAGTCATTAAAACATCCTTCCTAACACCTTCTCAGCCTAAGCATGTAGTTGATGTTTGATAATTTTCGCTTAAGGGAAGTGTGTGAAGATACTTTATAAAATATAAAAGAGAAGGTCAAACAATTACTTCTGTTGTCCTAGATCTGGTGGCCCCCATTTAACTCATCAGATCTCTCAAACATGCTATCCACAGAGACTTGCCTTTCAGTCCAGCTGCCTCATTTTCCTTTTGCATCATTTGTTCTGAAGTGCAAATCAGATGTCATAGTGTTTTGCCTTTAGTTGAAGCATCATTAAATCTCTGCTCAGTTTATATAGAGGACAAAGAGGGATCCATCACCCCTCAGGGCCAGGCACCTTTCACCATTTATATTCAAACATTTCTAGAGCAACAGCGAAACTCCAAGTGAACAGAAATAGAATGTATTAGAAACCTACTCACCAAAATATTAGCATGAAGTTTGATGAGAAAATGTTTTCTCTTAAAACTCAACTTGCGGATCTTAGCCCAGTTGAAAGTATTAATCTTTGTATTTCCCTATAAAGAAACACATAGCCAGTTTCAGAACATATCTGCATGAGTTGGGTTGGCCACAGTAAAAATATGATGGAAAGTACTGTTCATGAATAAGAGCCTGTGGAACTTAAACATTGCAGGTAGGGAACAAGTTCCTTCAGTATATAAGCAAGAAGGAGCACCAGGGGGACTCCCTGATATAATACCCTCTGTGATTTCACCCCTCCCTGTCTGCATACAACAAGTGCTAAAAGAAAAAGCCCCTTTATCCTGCTGCCTCATTTAACTGATAAATCTTCAGCAGTTCCTCGCTGGCCACATCATTAAATGTGGGCTGGGTTTTGTTGCTCAATATACAACCATCTCTCCCACTGCTTGTTACTTCAAACTTCTGTCTATATCTGTACCATCATTCCTGGGACCTCTTCATTCTCCCTTGCCCCAAATACCTTCTGCATCGTCCGACTTCTTACCAGTGCTGACAGCCCACTCTCTGGGACATTCTGACAGCAGTTCATTTCTAGCTCCTCTAAGGAATTTTGGTTTTAAGCAGAGCAGAAAAACCAAAATTGTTTAGCGGAGTTGAGGGCGTGGGGACAGGGCGGCGTGATGGTAGAAGACAATGGCCCTTCAAGTTGACTTCTAACTTGAAATCCCAAATCCCAGGGAAACAATGGTTTGGTAAACAGCAGCAGTTGCTGGTGGGATTCAACATTAATTTCCTACCAGCTGACACCGGTTATGCCCAATGCAAAGAGTTCTAAGAAAGGATGCATCACAGTTTGGACGGCTCAGGGTGGATCTTAACCATCTGGCACGTACTAGAGTCAAAGATTCCCTAAGAGCCTCTTGATTTTTCTCACTTCACCATGCTGGCCTAATCTAAAGTGTGATGGTCTCAAAGCCCAGACAGTACATTACTGACCGCACACAGGGGCAAAGCACATTGTGGGGAGAGGGCTTTTGCACACCATTTTATTAGCTCTACTTCCCTTGTAGTTGGTGGTATGACAAAGCCCTATGACCCTCTGGGGAACAGATATTCAAGTTGAAGTCACGATAACCACTCCCAGCACACTGAAGGGCACTCAAGGGAAGAGTTAGTACCCGTAACACCAGTACTCCCATGTGAGCAACAGCCAGGTGGATCTGCATCCCTTCGCCGTCGCTGGCAGGCTGAGGTCTGATGCCATACATATCCAGCTTCCTTGCTATGTCCAGTAGCAGAATGTCTGATTCAGCTGGGCTCCGGCCACTGCAACGGGAAGGAATTCGTGAGCCCAACAAATGCAGCAAAACTCGCCCCACCCCTCAACCTTTTCTCCAAGAGATGTACAAGGACTGAGCATGTTCTTGGGACTGAAGCGTCTCAGACGTAAAGTTTGCTCTCAAGAGTTGGTCCTAGCTTTAGTGTCCTCCACTGGGAAAGCAGGGGCCAGGGGACGTACTTACACGTGCTGCTGGTGAAAGTGCATGATCTTGCTCTCTAAACAGTCTTGGCTTGGGAAATACTGGGTTTGTACCAGATGCTTCCTAACTGTTACTTCATGAAAGTCTCCTAGTTCTGCTGTACAATAGAAAAGTGACAGTTTTCACATTTCCATTAAGAAATTAATGTACAACCTAAGAAACCTCCCATTCAGCCCCCCATAGCCCTTTCTCTGCAGCTGGTGTAGCCTAATCCCCCAGCACGCCCCATGCTGTGAATATATTTCTGTCTGTACAGGAGGAAGTAATGGACTTGTTCTCACATCACAAGCGGTGGGTTTCTGTGAGCTCTCAGCTTGGATTGTGGGTTACACATCCAGAACAGACATTAAAAGCTTCAAAATCCATTTTAAAAGAGGAAAGCCACACATACAGGGACTCTCAGATGGGTACACAGGAAAAAAGATGACATGGGGACACAGAAAGAAGACTGCCTTCATCAGGATGATGAAAGAGGCTTTGAGCTAAAGGAAACCTTCCAATGCCTTCATCTTAGACTCCAGCCTCCAGGACGGTGAGGAGTCATTGGCTCATTTAAATTTCCCAGTCCTCGGGATTTTCCTATGAGGAATTTAGTAAAGACTAACACATCCCAAATTTCCTTCTGATGTGGGAGTGATTTCTTTTTAATCTGTTGCTTTCATTGGTTAATTAATAAAGAAACTGCCTTGGCCCATTTGATAGGCCAACCCTTAGGTGGGTGGAGTAGACAGAACAGAATGCTGGGAGAAAGAAGCTGAGTCAGGGAGTCGCCATGATTCTCCCACTCCAGACAGACACAGGTTAAGATCTTTCCTGGTAAGCCAGCTCATGGTGCTACACAGAATATTAGAAATGGGTTAGATTGGTATGTAAGAGCTAGCCAATAAGAGGCTGGAACTAATGGGCCAGGCAGTGTTTAAAAAAAATACAGTTTCCGTGTAATTATTTCGGGTGTAAAGCTAGCCGGGTGGCGGGACGTAGCCCCACTGCTCCTCACTACATCCTTCTGCTATGACTAGCCATTGTCATAAGTGGAGAATAAATATCAACCAGAGTGCACACTACCTACAGCCAAGTCATCAGTCTGTCCTTGGGCAATTTAGTAAATCCCCAACAATTTGAGTCCCTGACAGACAAATCATCCTTTCCAAATCACTGGAAGTTTATCTATGAAGCTAATTTACTCTTTTTCAGACATCTCCAGTCTTGTTAGAGACAACTACTACAGGATAAAGTCCGCCCTGGCAGCTATGCACTTACAATTCTCTGCCCCTACTGTAAATGGCATTTGTCTTCTTTGACTTTTGTTTTCTTTGGAATTGTTATGTTCTTCTGTGTCTAAGATTCATATGAGTTATTTTCTGATTGTTTTTTTCTCCTAAAGTCAACGTTTAGAGCACTTTGTTCTCCACTGTTGCTTTTAATCTAAGATACCTGGACAGGAAGAGATATAGCCACACCTATTATTCACATATGTTCTTTCTCTCTCTCTCTCTCTCTCTCTCTCTCTCTCTCTCTCTCTCTCTCTCTCTCTCTCGTTTATAACTTCACCACAACATTTCTCCCTTCTGTGTCCTCCCTCCAAAGCCTTACATGTACCCTTCCCCACTGTCCTTCCAATTACAGCCTCCTTTTTCATTAATTGTTATTGCATGCATATATGTATATACATACATACTGTAGGCCATATATAGTGTTTAAGAGTAATACACTCTTTGTGGAATCCCGTGATATTCTCATTTTGAGTAAAATACATGTATATGGCTAAGAATACTGTATAAATAAGGAACTAAAGAAACCATATTCAATCTGATAAAAAGTTCTCTATGAAAATAATCTGTGGCTAACAATATAGTCATATCACATAGCAAGAGAATAAAGACTTTCCCTCAAAGGCAGAAATAAGATAAAGAAGTTTGCTTTGGCCACATTACTCAGAATTGTACTTATGAGCACAGTAAGTACAACAGACCAGGAAGAGATACTTGAAACTTTTGTAATGTAAATAAAAAGATAAAATTGTCTTCTGGAGATATAAAGATTTACAGACTTCCAGTTTTTACAGATTTACAATATTTATAGATTTCCAAGAAACCAATAGAGAACAATGAAGCTTAAATGAAAAGTCAAGAACTAAACTCTCAGAGTTCTTTTTGACAAAGCTGTCAAGATAATGCAGTGAAGAAATAACAATCTTTTCAATGAATTGTTCCAGCACAAAGGGAAATACATCTGAAAAAAATACAATACAAACCAGTTACAGTTAAATCATCACTCTGTCCGTCGGGAATCTAGAAAATACCCAGCAATGCTATCCGAATCCCTTCCAGATGAATCCTTCTGACCTTTCTAAATAGATAGCCTTTTATCTGTGACCTCATGTAACACACCACACAAGTATATTGGAAGTGAACTCAAAATGGATCAGAGACCTACATCTAAGGGGTTAACACAGGAAAGACCTAGAAGAAAACTAAGAAGAAGAATATCTTGTGGCTATCAGAATTTGTTTTAAAAAAGAAACCATTCTAAAATTCAATGGTAAGATAAAACATTTCAAAATGGGCAAAAATATTTCAATGGACATGTCTCTCTGTCTCTCTGTCTCTCTCTCTCTCTCTCTGAATAATCACATGAAAAGGTGTTCAAAACAATTGGTTGGTCATTAGAACAATGCTAGTTACAATTTTTATGTATCCACAGTCCTGGTCTCTCAACCTTGACCAGAGAGGCCTCTTTTTGCATTGGGCAGCTGTCAATACAGAGACTCCTAATTGGTCAAAGTACTGTAAATAGGAGATTAAACTAAACTGAATATCCTCACCACCAAGCATAGTTCGGGGAAACAGAAAAATAGGGGCAAGGAGGCAGAGAGAATAACAGGGCTGGAGGATGGGGAGGAGTGCTGTAAGATGCTGTCCTCTGAACACTATGAGGCCAGGGCACTATGAACTCACAGCGGCTGTGATTACCTGCACAAATCAAACGAGCCAAAGTTCTGGTACAGATAGGGGAGGTGGTCTCTGGGCCCCAGTCTTTAGTGTGGAGCTACTGGCAGTTCATAGCTGCTGGAGAAGGGAGAGAATCGCTCTTCTTTGAGGGGGTAGCCACTGGTAGATTTCCTGTGTTCCAGGGAGTGTTCCCATATCCATGCACATGGGGGCAGTACTAACTGGACTTAATGGGTTATCAGAAACAAAACAAAACAAAATAGAAGGTATGAAGTTGGGAGGGGCATATGTTGGGGGATACAGAGGGAACTGGCCTGGAAAACCAGCAGGGTCTGGCCATATTTCATTGTAGGAAATATCAAAGAATAAAGAATAAAGAAAAAAGCTCGTTATCCAGGTAACGAGCTATTTCTTTCTACCTACGAGGATAGTCATAATTCCCAGTTATATCCCCATCCCTGAGAGGTTTCTGTTGACATTATAGAAGTGTTCTAAACTGGACTGTAGTCAGAGCTGGATGGACATGAATTTACTAAAGCCCATTGGTTTGTACACTATAAATGAGTAAATTCTACAGCATGTAAATTATACCTCAATTGAGTAATTTTTTTTTAGAATACAGCACACACTCACACACATCATATATGAACGTCTTTCAGGTTCCTTAAGAACAAAACCCTATAACGACCATCAGGAAAACGTAAGAACATAAGTCACTGTTAATTTCCTCTCCGTGTACTTCTGTGACAATTTAGCAGGAAAAAAAATGGTACCACCAGTAGCAGAAACTGTCACCTGCTATGTTAGGCCTTTCTGGTCCAACTCCTTTCACCTCTCCTAAAGATCTCCTCTTATCATTCTGCCTACTACCACCATTCCCTTCTAAGTGCTAGAGTTTTCCAAAGCAGCCAGTATGGTTTCCTTAAAACTTAATTCAGATTTTGTTCTTATATTTAAAACAGCGGCCAAAAATTCCTTCTGATGGAGGTGCTTCTGATGATGAAAAGGAAATTTTTTTTCTCCTTCCCCGGTCTTCTGTCCCTATGGCTCCTGTCTCATTTAGAGTCGTGTTCTAGACCTCCAGTGTGCTTGGAACTTCCCTCTACTTACTCACTCAGGCTGCAGCCAGTCACAAACCCTTCTTGCTGTTTCTTAAACACACCAGGCAAGTCCTCCCCTCTGGCCTTTTCCACAGAGTTTTCCCTATGTGTGGCCCTCTCTGTCACTAGACTTGGCTCCTTTGCTCACTTTTATGCCTCCTACAAACTATTGTTCAGCTGTCCCCTTTATGCTAGGCTTACCCTCCCCACTTTATTGCAATGCCCAGCACCCACACCTAAAATCCCCCCTCTCCCTTCTATGTTTTGTTTTTCTCCATTGCTCTCATTCCCTCCGAACATTCATATGATTTTTTTTTGTTATTTTGGTCAATGTCTGACCCTCTTGCTCTGCCAGAATGTGGGGTCCATGAAGACAAGGGTTGGGTCATAGCTCACTACTGTGCTCTCGATGCTTATAATAGGATCTAGCATGGTGGCACTTATCCCATAGTTTTGTTGTTTAATGAATGATGAAGAAAGATCATACTATGTGTTTCTAAGAAGGACTATTCATCTAAATTATGCAAAGAATGTTTGGTAGGAACTATGTGGCTAGAGGTGCATGAAAGAGGTGTAACTATTAAAATGCCAAGGCCAGAATGGTTGGGCTCTTGAATGTCTAGCCTACAGCAGGCACTCAGCAAATATTGGACCAGTGAGAAAATGGGCAGATAAATGAGCAATTGGGCTGTGATTCTGTGTGTGACCTTGAGTCCTCTGAGTCTGACCGGGATTGACTGAAGTGCTAAATCGCTAGGCCCACAGCTTTTTCTCCACAAAATCAATGTCTTTTGACCACATACCTTCTGGAAAAGCTAAAGTAGTCTGTACTCTATATGAAATGGTCATTGGGAATGCCCAACTCTATATGGCAGTACTGTTAAGAATAAAATTGGGGTCCTCCCCAAGAGGTCACCTGGAGCCCGACCCTCTTAAACTTCTTTCTAAAGAGGTAACTGCCGGAGAAGGAAGCTCCTCCTAGCTGCTCTACGCCACACTTCATATGTCAGTGTCAAGAATGACACTGGGCATGTGGCTCGTGGTTGCATTTGTCACCATGTCTCCTAGATAGACACTATTCTTGAGCTACGTGTGGTCATTCTTCATGCCCTGTGTACAGTGCTTCTTGAGCCATCACCAATTTTATGCTGCTTCCTCTGCCCGTCTTCACATTCAGTTCCCATGTATTCCTTTAAGTCCAGTACAGAATCCATCTCCTCCACCAACTTTCCTTGACGCCTATGGCATTTTCCATCTGCTGCCTTTTTGAGAGTCCGGAGCTCTCTTTTCCCAGCTGGGAGTCACTTGACACACTGCCTAGGATGTAGTACCGATCCAAGCACTTCACTGTGATGTTCTTTGCAACATCCGAAGTCTACCATTTATGGACTGGTAGAAAGGTAATGAACAAAGGTCAGAAATGAACTTAGGAAATAAACAAAAAAAATAAACCCCGAAGTTATGATTCTGCAGGACTATCAAGGAACATTGTATTCTTGGGAGGCTTCTTCAAAATAGAGAAAGTCCAGCTGGCCTTTGAAAAGATGTTATCTCACACCGCCTAGCCCCTACCCTCCAGACTGCTGGAACAGCATGGCTTGGCCTGTGTAACTCCGTCCCAGGCAGGTCCCCACGCTTCCCCAGGCCTCCTCCAGTCTACCGTCACTGTTCTTGCTAGTCCAACTGCTGGGATGCTGACATGCTGAGAACACTGGCCTAAGCCTGGTGCCTTTCAGTCTCTTTCCACCTTCCCAACTCCATGATTTACGCTCTTCAGAAAACATGGAGCGGACATATAGCCTAGGGCAAGCAGAGGGAGCAGGCACTCCTCGGTTAAATCCATGGCAAGAATGACTCAACCCAGTTCCTGGACAGCAAGTCAAGGGACGGCGACAGCAGGGTAGGTAGACTGAAGTAGCATAAAACCAGCACTTACTTTTACCCATCAGAAGCACCTCCATGAGATGGCATTCTTGTCACTATTTTAAATACAAGAACGTCAGGCTCAGAGAAATAAGGGAGCGTGCTGTACAGTCAGGACAAGGGACAAGATTTCATTCGGTTCTCAATGAGTGTGATGAAGCACCACTTCACTGTCTCTGAACGAGGTCTTCTTTCCTCTTAATGCTGAATGAATATAGTGCCAAGCATGCAAACTGGAGGTGTTTGGCTCTGTCCCTGGCGAATGGGCGAGACATAGAGTTTTGGTACTTACATTGTAAGATGTGCGACACCATTAATGCTGTACAGTTGTCACTGCATGGGAGCCTTCCCAGAGCCAAGTCCTTCTTGATTTGAAGAGTGAAAAGATACCTACAAAGGATTGGAGGAAGAGATCTTGACAAAGAAGCAGGAATACAGAAGGAAAATTTCCTTTCTCTCAGACCCAAGCTAATTCTAAGAAGGAACAGCATCCGGTCTATCAGAGGCCTTTGGGGGGGCGTGGATCATACATAGGCTTTGCTTCAGAACCAACCCAATCCCAGCCCACAACTGGCTGACTCAGCACGTTGGCAGGTTCCACAACCCTTAGGAATTGCCCTGACTGTAGCCTGCCACCAGCTTGAGGGACTCGGCCAATCCTCTACTAGTGCTTTCTGCTGTGGAAACGACCACATCCTGAGCTAGAGAGGCAGGAGCCCCAGCAAGCACAGACTCTGGGGAACACCGAGAGCAGCCAGGTAGGTAGGGCCCTAAGAATCGAGCATTAGCAATCACCACATTTTACAATGACACCAAGCTCTTCTGAGCAGACTGTAGGATACTGGAACCGGTGCTGGAACCTAACATCTGCGGCTGAATGTAGGCTACCTACCCAAAGAGCAGATCTCAGGAGTCAAGGCAATCAAGCCAGGCCTGTGCCCACCTTATTCCTTCGTCTAGATTGCCATGGTACTGTTATTCGGAGCCCATTTGAGTACATTACAAACAGTAGGTGGACAGCTAATGTCTGATGAGCTCGGCCATGCGAACCTTCATCAGGGACCATAAAATGCAGGTTTGTGTTTAGGGTTCTCCTGAACTGGACTGAAGGCCTTAGAAAGGAACTCAATTTTGTGTTTGTGCATGTGTGTGTGTATGTGTGTGTGTGCTTGTTCATATGTGTGTGTACAGAGGTCAGAGGACAATTTTGCGTATCAGTCCCTGCTTTCCACCTTATGTAAAATAAGATTTTAGACATTAATTTCACTGGCTTACCAGCTTCTAGGCATGCCTCTCCTCTCAGTATAAAAGCACTGGGATTATACCCCATGTCCAGCTTTATTTGGGTTACAGGGATTTGAACTCAGGGATTCACTCTTGCGTGGCAAGTGCTTTTCTACATAACCATCTCTCCAGTCCCAGGGCCCATTTTTTGGTGAATAAGTGTATAAGAAAGACTCTACTGCTTTCTTGTCCAGAGCAAAAATCAGTTACAATACTTTCTTTTACATACAAGCACATGCATTACCTATTCTATTTCCCTATATAAAACAAAATATCCTAGATTAAATTCTATGTGAAGTTTTCAGTGACTAATGCCCCGAAGGCAATGTAATAAAAGATAATTAGTTGCAGATGATAAATGAAAACCTGGTCTGAAGAATCTTGACAAGTGATCGTTTAGTTCATGGAAGCTTTAACTGTTATGCCCCTTCAAACTGTAGTGCCTCTAATGCCCTAGAAATGATTCGGTCAAGATAGTTATTTTGTATAATATTCTCAGAAGTCCATGCATTGGCCCCAAACAATAAGGTATATTTTAAACTCTACAACACGTAGGTTTTTATTTTTTTTTTAGTTGTCACTGCTGGATTGTGTGTTTCTTTGTTTGTTGTGACAGGTTCCACTTTGTAGCCCAGGCTGGCCTAAAATTTCCTACATATCCTAGGCTACCACCCTTGAATTCACAGCATTCTTCCTGTCTCGACCTGTGGAGCGCTGCGATTAAAAGCATGAGTGATCACACCCAGCTCAGTTATGTATTCTTACATGGAATACAAGGAAAACCTAAAGGAACCCTACCATTTACCATTGTCTGTTTTCAAATATAGTTGGATATGCTATTAATCGGTCACCTTGCAAAAGCAAGAGGGAATTGAAGTTTGTTCTTAGCGAGGAGAAAGAAAACCTTTTGTCGTTTGATTATCCCTCTTTGGGAAAAAGGCATCAGGCTGCTTCAGTAGTAACAGGCACCACCTAAGAAGGCAGCCGCCTGCTACAAATCCTTACTCTGAATAATTGATGAAATATTTATCATCACATTAATTTTTCTCGTATTTTTGAGAAAGCTCATCCCCATCAAAACTGGTCATAGTTTAAAAACCCAACTACCAAGATTTAGTGAATGCAAGCTAGTTTACACAGCAAGGCAGCGAGAGTGGTGGACAACAGCGAAACGCGGAGAGAGGCAGAGCAGGGAAGGCAAGCAACTGTGCAAAGAGCCCACACCAAAGGAGCAAGTCAGTCGGCCCCCTGTGGAAGGGAAAGGCGCTAGGGAGATGAACGCCCAACAACCTGCGGTTTTTAACTCAGTCAGCTTTAGCTTCCAGGACCTCTGTAATCTAAAAGACCTCGCTCCTTTCTATGGGTAGCGGTGTCAGTCTTGAAAGCAGACTGTGTTTTGGGGGAGTGTCACAGTGCCAATGTCATTTTGCCGAAGTGGGTTTTCACTGCAATTACCAAGAATACTTCTCATAAGCATACACCATCATTACAGAATGCTTCCCTTTCTGCCTATGGGATCCCGCCATTCATTTCCAATGATCACGAGCATTGGCTGGCCCCAAAGCTTTGCTGATTGAAACACAGATGGCACAGAACAGCATACTATTGTGGCGCTTAACGGATTAAGCCTTGAATGCTACCCAGGTTCACCACTCATCTATTCTTAGTTCTGAAACTTGGAGAGATTAACATTTGGGGGGGTCAGCCAGATCTTCCCTCTTTCTAGCCCTTCACCTTGATTCAGAGAAATAACTTAATCCCAAGCCATGCAAAAGGGAATCAGAGCCCTTTCTTCAATAGCTGGATAATGGGTATTCTCAAGTAGCATCTTTCAGCACACACACAGTTAAACACTTTACCTTGTGAGTTCTTCCCGAAGGTGTCCAGGGTCCACTGGGAAAAATTTCACCATAAATTTGAAAACAACCTCCTTAGGATCTTAAAACACAATATCTCCATAAGTTTTCTTAAATGTTCATTACAACAGTTAAGACTC